CAGCACGGCGGGGCTGCGGCTGCCACGGGGCACGGGCCCTGCCCTCGGGACGCCGCCTTTGCTGCTCAGAGTGTGGCCTGACAGACAGCGTTCACCCCGTGTGGGGGTCTGTCCTGGGGCCCACCCCGACTGCTGGTCAGGACCCCTGAGGTGGGCCCAGCTGGCGGCTGTGGCTCTCAGAGCTGCAGAGAGGCCGCTCCAGCGCACTTGGCGCCTGGGAGCCTTTCATGCGCTGCTCCCTCTGGGTGGAAAACACTTCCCCATCTTTTCTGCTTGGCAAGTGCCCGTCCTTCAGAACCCAGACAAACCCAGCTCTCTGGGAAGCCTCTCTCCCCCGGCTCCGTTACTGAGCCTTAGGATGGGCCAGCCCCCATCACACGGTCGCCATCCATCTTTTGGGGGTCCGACCCCAGGGGATTCTCGGGCGTGTGGGGTGCCCCTGGGTCCTCTCCTTGACTCCAGGTCCTGGCCAGAGTCAGGCCCGTTTCGGGTGCTCAGAACTGTCTGCTGAGTGAAGCTCAGGTGTCTGCCAGCGTGTCAGCCGTTAGCTGCCTTCGGATCGCTTTCTGCCGACACCCGAATACTGTGCTCTGTAGTGAGTGTTTTATTAGTCTTTGGAAATCCACATGGCAGTCAGTAGAGTTTAATTCTTGAATGAGTTTCCTTTCAAGAGCTAAGTATTTTCTCACAAGTGTGGATTTTTTTTTAACAGAAAAAGTCAAGAAATGCAAAACTTCCTGTGAATGATTCAAGAATACCTAAGGCACAAGCCTGTTGAATTTCTCTTAAAAGTGGGGCTCAGGCAGGACCCAGGCGGGTGGGCAGGGCCTGGGCGGTCCCCGTAGGCCCTGACGCCCAGACTCAGATGTGCCGCCTTCCTGCCTTGCAGATGCCCTTCCTGAGAGCTGCTGGGCCTGAGCCCAGCGTCGGGGGTCAGGGGTCAGGGCTTGGAATGTGGCCGCTTCAGATCACAGCCTCACAGGTGCTGCAGCCCAAGTGCTGCCCCCAGCCCCAGGCTTTCATGAGTCCCATGGGCCTTTGGCCCTCTTACTCAGGGCTCAGGGCCCATTGCAAGGCCCCACCCTCATTCCTGGAACTCAAGCCCAGTGAAGCTCAATCCCCGGGCCACACTGGACAGCCACAGCCAATGCACCATCCAGGCAGAGGGACACTGGGGGCAGGGCACGAGGAGACAGCCAGCAGGTGTTGAGAAAAAACAAAACCAGCCCAAACAGACTGGCTTTGAATGTGGCCTCAGCCTCTTGGCTGTGTGACCCTGGGCAGGTTAGGGAGCCTCAGTTTCCCCATCTGTAAAGTGGGAATTCCTACGCCTCCAACGTGAAGCAGAGAGACTCACATGCTCGTTCCAGCGCATTTAGGCGGGCAGGCTCCGCCTCCATCCACCTGGGACTCAGTGTTCTCCACCCTTGGTGGAGATGTATTTGATGTATTTCCTGTCCTAAATCACAATATCACACGTACCCACCCAGAATCCCTGGAAGGGTGGCCACCAGCACCTAGCTCTGGCCACCGCTGATGGGACGAGGCCTGAGGATCTGACCCTAGGGAACCAGCCCAAAGCCAGACTCACTCAGGTGGGAATCTGACCCAAGAGGTGCTGAGCGTGTGGTTAGGTGGAGGTTCCTGAGCAGGAAGGATGGCAGCGCCATGTCCCCATAGGCAGGGTCCGGGAACTGTCTCCTGCCCTGTAGCTTGTAGATCCTGGCAGACATCCTGGGAAATTGGTTGGCGGCTCCTGCAGCCTCGGTTTCCCCGCCTGTAAGACTTAAGGGGATGGAGACACCCATGGCCGCCTCTGCGGCCCTGGAGGCAGCAGGGCGGGTGGGCTGAGGCCGAGGGCTGAGATGGAGCTGGCTCGGGAGACCAGCAGGGAGCGCGCCTGCCCTGGCTGCCCATCCTCAACCCAGAGAAGCTGGTTCCCGTCCACACTCTATCCCGATGTGAAATCAGACAGAGAGGTTGAGACTGTTGCCTAAGGCCACACGGAAAGTGGCAGCACCAGAGCTGGAACCCAGGGCTGCCTGGCTCTAGTGGGCCTGGGACGCGGGAGGAGAAGGGGCTCTCCCTGCCCCTGTGGGTGCTTCACAAGAAGACGCGTGCCCAGAGGGACAGCCAGGGGCTTCTCATGACCCGGAGCCCCAGGGGAGGGGGTTGTCACAGCTCCGGATGGGCTGTGCCCTGACGGCACTGCTGAGAGGACTGTGCAGAAGTACTTTCCACAGCAAGGGGTGAAGCAGAAAGAATTTATCTTAAACCCTTGGTGCCCCAGAACAGAACTTGGTTGGAATTCCCTATTTCTTACACAGTCTGTTTAATCCTGGGGACCTGACTACTGAAAACAAAGTGGAGCCCTCACCCGACCTCCCAGGCCACGTGGGAGTCACGACCATCCTTCAGAGCCAGCTGAGCCCGGCCCAGCTCCACCCACGATGCTCAGTGCCAACTTCGCCTGACTTAACCTCAGGTCTGCACGCCCTGCGCGACCCGGGCAGGTCCCTCCCTCCGGGCCCCTCCCTCGGCCGGGGGTCCCTCTGCCCCGGGGGTGCAGGCCAAGGGCTGCGTGTACGTCCTCCCCCGCGGAGGCACCCGCCCGCCCAGAGGCTCCAGCAGAGGCCCAGCGGTGTTGGGAGCCATTCCTTGGCACAAGTGAAAACCACAACGCAAGCTCCCCCTCCTGCTCTGAATGAAAACTGCTTGGTTAGCCAGGCGGCCCGCCCTCTGTCGGCTCACGGAAGGCCTGACTGCAGCCGGGGAGCCCCCAAGACCGCCCGCTGGCTTCTCATTGGGCCGACCCATGGCACTGCCCCATTGGAGCCCACCGGGCGCCAGTCATGGGGTCAGCATGTGGCCTGGCAGGACTGGAGAGCCTGTGACCTCTCCAATTTCCCCAGCCTGGCCTGGGCCTCCAAACCCCTCACGACACCCTCCCCACCCCCAGCACTGAACCCTCCCTTCCATCCCCCACAGCTGCAAGGGCGAGCATTTTGAGCTGTGAGAGGCAGGGCGGTGACATTCCAGGCAGTCACCCCGATGCTAGCCAGCTGCCAGGGGCCGTGAGGGCGGGTGGTGCTGGCGGCCCTGTGGCCGTATACTGCCCATCAGGAGCCCTGGCGCCCCCTCCCCAGCCAGAGATGAGGCCTCTGACTCACCCGAAGGCCGCTCCGAGTCACCCGTGTGCAGGCAGGCGCACAGAGGCCCCAGTGGGACTGGATGGAAGGGAAGCCTATCCCGCGTCCCATCATGGCTGTGGGGTCCATCTGCCCCAACCATGGCCATGAAGTTTTGACCATGTAAACAGTGGCTGTACCGTGAAATGCTGGCTGTGTTCTCTGGACGACATACCCACGTGTGCCAACGGGTCCTGAGGCTGGGTTTTCAGGATTGGGGTAAGTCCCGTCCCCTTCCCAAGCCTCAGTTTGCCCACTTGTAAAGTGAGCAGGTAGCCGCCCCACTCCAAGCCAGTAACTTCATCTGAGTCCTGGGGCTGACTGGCACCTTTGGGGACCCTTCCCTTCCCAGCCGAGGCCTGCCCAGCCTCACACCCCATCCCTGAACGGCCGGCAGCTGGCCAGTCACTCCCCTCCTGAGCAGATGGCAGATAACATTTGGGGTTTCCATGGAAACTAGAAAGCTGAGTACAGGTAAGTCTGAGATTTTGTAATCACAAGTCTGGAGTAACCAAAGCAGCACAATGAAGTCAAATTTCACTCCAGCCCTTAGGAGTTGGGATTTCTCCACGGTCCTGAGGACCCGTGCCTCTCATGAAAGGGGAGCCCAGGGTGGCAGGGAGAGAGATGGGCACCTGCAGTCTGAGCCTGTGCGCCTCCACAGATGCCCCCAGGCGTTTCCCGACGGGCAAGAGGGCTGAGGGCTGAGGGCCACAGCTGCTAAGCGCTGGACCACCCTGGACAAGTGACACGTGGGAAACACCGGACGGGCTTTGGTTATCTGGGACGTCGCACCCAGCCTGTGCGAAGCGGGGGGCCAGCCTGTGGAAGCAGAGCCTGAGACAGGGCTTCTGGTTGTTCAGGACCGGGCAGGGGAAGGAATTATGCCAGGAAGTGGTCTTGGCTGAAGTCCCCCTCGGGACGCCGGGGCAGACCCAGCCAGGGCCCTTTCCTACCTCCATGGGCTCTAGGCTGGGCAGGGGAGCCATCCCCAGCGGAGGCCCTGACCTGTGAGTCACCTGCTGGGGAGGGTGCAGCGGCCAGTAACGGAGCTCCGGTCAGGACACCATTGGCTCTGCGGCGATGGTACATCTGTTCCCATTTCACAGATGAAGACACCACACGGGATAGAGGCAGAGCCCGGGCCTGCTCTGCCCACACCACTGCTCTCATAAGCAGGAGGCTGTGGTCCCCGAGGCCACGTGACAGTGTGGAACCTGCAGCCAGGGCCTCTGGGCCC